TGCAGGTGGTTATGCGCTGGAGCGCCGGACAGACTGCAGTGGCTTATGCTCATGAGGCGTGGATGCAGCTTGAGCGGTTGGGTGCGGACGTGATGTTCATCGGGAGATTGGTCGGTTTCGTTGACAGGAACAAGTTGCACAAGGCTTTCAAGGACTCCAAGCTGCTGATGCATGGCAGAGTGGTTTGGCAAGCTTTGGGTCGTTTCCGCACGATGCTGGACACGCCAGTCATCAGTACCTGGCGGTGATCGTCAACAGCGACAACACACGGCTGAGTCAATTACGGAATGCCTACCACAAGGTGCGCGACTCATCGGATTCGGGGTCTTTTGATTCTAGGAGGACAAAGCTCAATTTCGCGTGGACCCGGTGCCAAATGCCCGAAACGACACCCGTGCTTCATGTAGAATAGGTGAGGAGAATCGATGCGCACTGCCAACATCGATACACCTCTGACATATGTCAGCTCTCGGTTTTGTAAGCGCTGCCCTCCCTGAGGTACAATCTGATGTCGTTGCTGAGGTGATCGACCTACTATAGCTGGGAGAAGGGCGCCAATATTGAAGATGACGACATGCAGGGCGTCCTCATGAACCTAGGCCGTCTGGCGGATCTCAGCGAGCAGAATTTCTACCCGAGCTTGATGTAAGTGCCCTGCATCGTCAACGATGCTCTTTCGAAGACACGGCCAGAATCCCAAGCGAAGTTGCCAGGCGGCACGACCCCCAACATTCCAAAGATGACGTCTGATGCCACGGCCCTGCAGGCATCCCAAGCAGAACTTGGATGTGTTCTTGCCTACCCCGACTTCGTGGACCCAGTGTATGAAGCCCTGAAGCTGAGCAACAAAGCGAGCCTCGTTGCCATCCAACACTCAGTTGCAGCCTGGGCGCGTTTGCGCAACGATGTGGAGGGAAGGGGAGTACTTTCGTGTGATGACGGGACTCACAAGTTCCGCAAGTTAGATTCCCTCCTTCAGGAAGAGGTCTTGTGTACCTGCTATGCATTCCTCGGCAAGGACGGTGTTGCAGATTTTGGGATGGTTGGTCAGGTCATTCGTGAGCAATGCGACTCGAAGCAAGACGTGCCACGGCTGAGCATTGAGGCCTTTCTCAGCAAGCTGCACACGACACATTCGCACTTGCGGAAGGCAGTCCTCACAGAGTTGACATGCTCAGAAAATGTTTGGAAGGGTACCGTAACGAGGATTGCCCAGCTTCCGCGCAAACCAGCTGCTTGAAGTTGTTCCGGAGCACAGTCCAACGCAGCCTCCATGCTATAAAGGGCAATTGAAACCCATTCGCACGTCGTCGTTTCGCTGAGGCACTGGGCCTCGTATACGCAAGTCTGTATCTGTGCCATAAATAGGCAGACCGTTGTGAAATCTGCAGGGTTGCCCCTACGAGTCTGAGGTTCGATATGTCCCAGACCATGCAGGAGCGCATGAAGCGGGAAGAGAAGGAGGCCATGTCCAGAGCACCAGTGGTAAATGTAGCGATTGCATTTGTGACCAACAAGTCATATTTTTATCGCACCTCTCTCGTCTGTCGCTCTCTCTTTTCTCTCTCTCTCTCTCTCTTTTACCCTGTCTTGGCAAGCTGATGCTTTGTTTTGGCGTCTCTTCCATAGTACACTCAGGTGGAACTCGAACTCGACCTGAGCCGAACTCGAACTCGCGCCACCCTCCGGCGCACTACCTTGTGCAAATGCGACCTCTAAACTCGCCATGGCACCGAACCGGAAGTCCTGAATGGGGTTTGTGTGCAGCGTCTTGAGGATGGAAGTGACGGAAGTCAAGTTGCTATTTGGGAGCAGGGACCGTACCCTATTGGCAGGTCAAAGGTCCAAGAGGCTTGGTGCCTAAGACGATGCTGTTGGATGCGATTCCTGCGGATTGCTGAAACTTTTGAAGCCCTTCACCATTGGATCTCAATCGAAATCAACAGCAGGATGACACATGGCAAAGGAGTGGGCAGCTTTGACTCTAGGTTCTCACATGCAGCAAACGATCAAGAGGACCAGTCAACTGCCATTATTGACGCACCTGCGACACAGTGTGTTGCCTACTTCGTCCTTGTTACGGCGCTAGGTTCTGAAGGTTTTGTTTATGCAAGGAACCTGGAACGGGAAGCATTTCAAAGAAGCGTGGCACGATCTCGCGCGCAAAGCATGAGCCTCCTGACACACCAAGTCACCGTGCCACCAGGAAATGAGCTCCACGTCCAACGCGAGTTGTAACGCGAATCATTCCGCCCATCCAAATACTCCACTTACCCCTCAGCTCTGCCTTCATGGAAGCCCCGGCAGGAAGACACCCAAAGAGCCTTGGAGTGGATGCGGGCGACGCGAGATCCTGAGACCTAAGCCCTGAAGTTGCTCCTGTAGTGATGGCCCTTCGGAGGCCACTCTTTTTTTCTGTCGTGCGATTGAGGACCTTACGTGCAGGGGGTTGCATAACCCAGGCAGGCAACACTTGATCAAACTGAACTCCGTGGGAAGCAGTCCCCTGAGCAGAATCTTCTAGGCACTTTTCATTTCCTCAAGTCGGACCTTAGCCCCGCCCACACGAGCACCTGTGCACTAGGTAGCCGCTAGCCGAAGTGAAGACTCGCCAAAGAGAGGGATGTCCTTGCTCGCATCGCATCGAGGTCACGGCCCCAAGACGCCGAATTGTGCGGCACTTAGATAATGCGATCTGATGTCGGAAGGCATATAGCAGACCTAGCTCCGCTCACGTTCCAATCAGACGCAGCAATTCTGGGAGCAATTCCGCGCTTCGCATGCTGCCGGCCGGCCCCAAGCTGAAGGCCCGGAGGCATGCTCCACAAGATCCGTGAGAACCAGAAGCGCACCGCACTCAAATCCGTCCCTAAGACGAACACCCGTCGTATGGAGTCGCTTTTGGTCGGATTCGACGGGTCGCGGCTCAGTTCGATTCGTTGGCTCGACAGGTGTGGACACTTTGGTTAGCACCATCGGGGTGGCAATGGTCGAGAGACAGCGTGCCCAGGACCTTCATCCATCATTGGTTCATCATCATCCAGTCACAGGGTGCGTGGAGGGAAATTCACACGTCCAGTTTCTGAAGAGCTCCACTGACAGCCGCCCTTTCCTTTGCGTTGGCTCAATGTCACAGGGGGCAGTCGGGGCCCTAGGACGGGGTCCCGTAAGGGTGCGAAGCCGGGGAAGGGCACCGCCGGTCCGTGCAGCCATGCCACGGCGCCGGTCGCCGTCGAGGTCCCAGAGCGCAGCATGCGCAGCACTTGTGGGCTCCCTATAAGGCACTTTCCACGCTTGCAGGTCGGACTCCAGACGACGATCTCCTCCGCGGAAGTCGCGAAAGGACTCCTTTGAAGCTGCTTCATTTGGGGCCCCGCCCTACCTTCGCAGGAAAGCCGAAGTAGGTCGGCTCCGCGAAAAGGAGGGCGAGGAGGAGGTGAGGCCAAGGCACTCTGGCCTTTTGCTAGCACCCCTAGCATCTTGAGTTTGCGCAGTCTATCTGACCCCGTGTCCTTCCATGGCCCTGCCTTTCCAGGCCGACGAGAAGTTGGGGCCGCCCTTGCCAGAGTGGGGGAGCATTGGCATCATCCAGGACCGGGTGCTTCTTGAACTTTTAGAAGACCCAGTCTCCGCCGCCCCCTTTCCCTATCTTGAGGAGCTGAAGGCCGCAGGGATCGGATTCATTCGGCCCCACAGCGGGAAGGTGGATGACAAAGACCTCTTCTTCCACAAGTCGGCCTTGAAAAACAGCCCCTTGTCGCTGAGGGAGGGCTGGGGAAGGACGTTGACATGGTGTTCCCTGCCTCTGAGGCAGTTTTGATGCCCTCCAAATCGGCGACGAGTGCACCTACGAGGCCGTCCTCGATGAGGCAAAAGGCAAAGCCGCTGCCAAAAACATCGCCCCTCCCTCAGCTGCATCAACTTGATCCGTCCCTGTGATTCTCTTCGACTGACCCAGGTCCTCAAGAATGGCGGCCCACCCAGGCCTGTAGCCAGGACAGGACTCTCCGAGACTCGCTTTGAAGTTCGCACTGCAGGCGCGGCGGCGGTGGCGGCGGCGGCGGTGGTGGCAGGGACGATTCGCGTGATCGCCGTCGAAGATGACTCCGGCACGTGGCCCGGCCCCCCGGAGGGTATAGCCGGGCGGTTGTGGTGGCAAGGCTTCCGCACGCCGTGCTCGGATACATCCATGATCTCGGCAGCCTTGCGCGAGGTTTGGATACGACGCCCTGACTCACTTCTGAGTGGAGTCGAGTGGGCAAGCCCTGCAGCTGTCTGGGTGCTCTCAAAGAAGGTCTGTCTAGAGCAGTAGATGAAAGCCTTTTTCGAGCCGGGAACGCATCGGGAATTTAACGTGTTTGGTCACTAGCAGGGCACCTCGCTTAGGCCTTGGACTTCCCCGCTGGGCATCCAGGAGGTCTCTCGATGTTGGACAGCGCTGGGGCGGACATTATCCCGCCAAGTTCTGGTAAATGCAAGAAATATATGGGACAAGCAAAGAAGTGAGCAATGTTTAGTGCGCAACGCTTGCTGGTCTGATGGTCTAGGTTGTTAGTTCGAGGAGCACGAAAGACGTCTGTTGTTGAAGCACAATTGCGGGGCAGCTGGCAAAAGCCCGTGCCGCAGTCGCCCAGCGCTGCGGGACGTAAAGAGCGTTAGGAAAGACTCGCACATTGTAAAAGGAGGGTGTGGCGGCTGGGTGGCTTGGGGTTTAGTATAGAATGTATGGTACTGTACTACGGCATACAGTATAGTACGATATGGTATAGGCTATACCATATAGCCTGGTAAAAACTGGTAAAGCACAATATAAAAGAAACGGGTTCATCACGGACGTTCCAGCTGAGCTTCAGTCTCCTCCCCGCAGCTGAAGGCGGCGAGCAAGGCCCTTTCATCATGCGGGGCAAAAGGGCTCGAGCCTTGGGGGCTTTCCTCCAGGAAGAAGCGCTGGACCTCACCATCGATCGAAATTTCAGGCCGCGGGAGGGCGCATGAAGGAAGCTGGTCCTTCCTGGTCCTGCTCAGGGCCTACGAGAAGAAACAGACCGCAGACTTCTTCGCGAAGCCGTGGCCTTACTTCGAGTCCTGTGGCAAGGCAAGTAGGCCTTACGGCCGGAAGTGCGGCTCTCTTTCCGACCTAAGCCGCCTTATTGAGCACGCAAGCGTCTGCTGTGCTTTACCTCTTCCCCACTTTCACAGACTGTGCAGACATGTTACAAAGCAAACTGTTGCAGACTATTTTTTCTCTATCATTATTACCAATATGTCCTTGTTATTGCTACTGTACCATTAGTATGAAGATGTAGTCTAAGTCAAGCAAGTCTTTTTGCAGGAAGGCGGAGCGCAGGCGGCAAGCGAAGGAGCTGCAGCCTGCCTGCAAAAGTTGCAAACTGCAAAAGAGAAGGGCAAGGTCTGTACCCACTGCGCGAGAAGAGACTTTAATCATTAGAATAGAGTTGATATTTCTTGAGCTTACGTGATAGTATAGTTGGACTGACTCGCCGTAGCGAAGAAGAGTCGGCTTTTGCCATTCTTTCCTTACAAGCCTTGTGTAATCGCGCTCTCTGGCTCCTGACAACGGAAGGTTCGCGACGATCAAGCAGCAGGCCGCCGAGAAGAGGGAGAGGGCTCGGAGCCCAGCTTAACAAAAGGGGACGTAGCTGGTGTGAACTGCAACGACGCGTGGTTGAGTGGAGCGCTGGGAGGAGGCAAAAAGCTTAAAGAAGATTTCCTTTTGGGCGTTCGGAAGAGCAGGGGTGAGGGTTTAGGGCCGGTATTTAGGGTACCCAGAGAGCACATTTTTTTGTTTTTGAGACTTGGGCCAGTTTTGCCTTAAATCCTGCAGTTTTTCCTGTGCTGCAGGGCTGGGAGGACAAAGAGGCGGACCGGTGGCAGGCAAGGACCCACTTTCAAATCCCGTGGGTCTCTCTACTGACTGGTTGTTGAAGGGGAGATGCCTCGTCCATCTTATGCTGCTTGTACACCGCTACAGTAAGCTGACCGCCCAGATGACGCTGAAGGTAGAACATTGGCCACAATGCACGATGCTCAAGTGCACCCGTGATGGCAATCCTTCCATGCCCCGCATCCGGGAAAGCTCGAGTATCATTTCTTCTTCCGCCAACCGATACACAAGTCTGTTTGCGATGATGCAGGGTGAGAGGCTTGGCAACGCTTTGTACCGCCGTTCGGAAAGCAAACATGTATCAAGAAGTCCCGAAGTCGGGATTCGGTATGTTGAGTCCTGCGACCGCCAGGCCCAAGCCCCAAACCAGGACTGGACCCACCTCAAACCCGACGCACCAGAGAAACGGCAGACTTACATAATCCCAGAAGTGAACCCCGGAAGCCCCATAGCGAGAGTGAGTCAGAACACAAAGGCCCAGAACACCCTAAACCCTATTCCGGGCCGGTTTGTGCTTGTCATGAAGGGATTGGGGGGTGGGTAGAGGTGGAGGTGGGTTTCGTAATCCTTCATAATCGGGTACAGGAAGAGGATTGGTGCAGGATTGCCACAGGTTACGATTCATGCTGGATTAGTGATGGATTGACGGGGTCATCGTGACAGCCTCCAGCAGACCCGGAAAACGAAACAGGCAGACACAGACAACGAGAAGTGTAGATTTTAGTGAGAAGGGGAACCAGAGACGCAGAGAGAATGTAGAACAGCATAAGCATAGGAGTGCTGCAGTGGATTATAAGGTGAAGCACCCAGGAGCGCTGGATTTGTGCAGGATTAGCCTCGGGCTAATCTAGGATTCGCTTCGGATTATGGGGAAGCACCAAGGAGGGCTGGAGTAGTGCAGGATTAGTCAAGGATTTGCCTGGGATCAGCGAGCGGGTAGCGTTAGCTTCGGATTTGCCTAGGGTTATCGATCAGCATCGGATTAATTTAGGATAAGCCTAAGAAGCCCCCACCCTCACCCACCCTCCCACTTCTTCGTGATTGTCGCTCCAGTCACTAGTTGCCTGCCTTGAGCGAGTTGTGAGATTCCAAACAAGTTGGGCTTGCGAGGGCGTGGTACGAGCAGTGCACCCTTCAGGCGGCCACTTGGCGCCAGCAGGACTCCGACTTCGCCGAGTCCCAGCGCCTGGCTGCGGAGAGAACCCTGACAGCGCGGAAGGCACGCGGGCGGGCGGGGTGGGTATGGAATTCAGGCGTTGTGACAAACATGGTAGCCTCAAGCAGATAGTATGCTGACACTCTGGCTTGCGGTTAGAGATCGCGAGTCAGCCATGGCCAAGAAGAAGTAAGCGGTGATGATGTTGATGATGGTGATGACGACGATGTTCTACTGTTTCTCAGGTTCAGCGGTTCTCTCTTCCTGCATACTGTTAACTGCTTCGCCCCGCGAGTGTTCACGTTTAGAGGGTGCGTTTTCCTCGGCACTGTTCCGTTTTTGCCCAACGGTTTAAGCGACAGGTAGTTGGTAGGGTCGGGGTTGTGGTGGTGGCGGCTAGCAGTAGTAGTAGTAGTAGTAGTAGTAGTAGTAGTAGTAGTATAGTAGTTTAGTAGTAGTCGTCGTCGTCGCATCAGCAGCAGCAGCAACAGTAGCAGTTGCAGTAGAAGTAGCAGTACCAGTAGCAGTAGTAGTAGTAGTAGTAGTAGTAGTAGTAGTAGTCGTCGTCACCGTCGTGGTGGTGGTGGTGGTAGTGGTAGTGGTGGTAGTAGTTGCGGTAGGAAGAGGAGGAGGGGGAGGGGGGGAGGATGTGAAAAGAGCATCTGTCACTGCGTGAGTAAAGGAGAAGGGTCCCGGTCTCGAAGACTACACACTGACTACCCTACCCCCGCCAATCAGAAATGTTGAGAATTCCGGCTGCAGAATGAGCTTGGTGGACTGCCCAAAAGCCGGACTCCAAAATGAATTTTGTGATGGCCAGAGCTTCTGGCAGACTGTGCTGCGTGCTCCGCGCCATGTGTGAGTTCTCCGAGACCTGGCCTTGAGTGTGCAGGAGATAGATGCCAACCTCTTTGGTGCCATGCTGGCGAAAGCAGGCGCGCACCTCTTGCACTAAGTTCTAGCTCCGTTTTCCGTGCCCTGCCAGGAGCGCACAAGATGGAGCAGGGAGTGTCTGACAAAACCCGGCACCGCGAGCTTCTCCTGAACAGGCCCGGAACGGACCATCAACACACATAAGGAGCGAGGAGCTATTTCGCAGACCTCTGCACCTGCCCTGCCAGGCCCCTGATTGAGCGGATGGCTCAGTCGGGCTTCAAGCCGGAAAAGACCGTCGCCATGCTGCAGCAGGTCGGAAGTCCAAAGCTCCACGTGACGCGAGCGGATGCCATCCGCCTCACATCCAGAGAAGCCGGGGATGCACCAAGCCTTGACAGGCATCGGCCTAGAAGGAGAGGTCTGAGTCTGAGGCTCCAGTCTAGGACCTTTGGATGCCGAAGGCATCCTACAACACCCCTCCCGTCTCAATGGGTACAAATTCTAGGTCATGTGAGGGAATTGTTTTGTTTTGGTGAAGACGAGGGGGGATTAGACAGCTTGCCTAAGGCAGAAACGCTGGAGAAAAGACGGTCTCTCCTTGTTAAATCTGGAAGGGCAACGCAGAAACGGCACGGGTTCCTTTCACTTCTCGAAAAAATCCTGCTCGCAAAGAGAAGAATATTTATCAGTTTGGGCCGTTTGCTTATCGGAATTCCAAGCGCATATCGGCGGCAATGGATGGGTCGCTAAGCAATCGAGCTTTGCAGAAGCCGAGACCGAACTCTCCCGCTCAGGAGACTTACTATACGCAGCAAGCCCTGGCAGCATCTCTGGCTTCGTTGAAGCACCCTGACACCTGCACAATCTCGAAGAATTATTGCTGAGGCATAGCATGCATAATGAGTGGCGACCCGGCCGTCGGTTGCTAACTGAAGCGCGTTTAAATTTCTAGAGTCGTGGATCTCTTGGTTGGTGGTGTGAAGCTCGTGTAGTTGGGTTTAGGCTGAGGGTTCGTTGTCTGCAGCCATATCTGCAGCAGCTGCCCAGGTCTACTGTATGCAGCAGCTATGTTGATAGACGCGTCGAGAGGTGTCCCGAAACCCCTAAGCACTATGTTTCGCAGACCCATGCCCGCTCCAGCTCCGTTGCCGATGGAATGCTTCCATCTTTCGCGAGCATGTTCAAGCAGGGCTGTATCGCAGCCATCTCCATGGCCCAAGGCTAAGGATTTTGCTTGTCTTACACCAAGCGATGGCAGAGCGAACGCAGCGAAGCTTCAGTGATGCTTCAAGCCAAGAAGGCTCCGAGTGGGAACGAGGAGAGGCTTCCGGGAGGGGTTTGCGAATTTGCTGTGTTGATTTGCTTGACTTCTTGATTCATCACATCCTGTCGCAGGACGCAGCATTGAGGATGCGCATTCTGTCGTCCAGGACTTGCTGGAGCGAGCCGTCGCATCCATCCAGGCCTCCAACAACCAGGCCAGCCGTCGCCGGGTACGCCAGCGGCTGCAAAGGACTTCAGGGAGAGATGGATTGGGACTTTCGGGATGTGTAGACTGCAGCTCTTGCTTTCCCCCGGCAAACGCAGGAAGCTCAGCGACTTCTTGGCCAAGGACCAGTATGATGAGGCGATGCAGCAGTTCAAGATCCTATGCGAGAGCCGGCTAGGATACGTCTGGCGAGTGGCCGACAAACATGCTGAAGAGCCAGGCGTATGCTATTTGCACTTTAACGAGTCCAATGGGCACTTGGAGCACTGCTTCGTTTGATTGACTTTGGGCACAGCTGCCTTCCTAAACTGAAAGGCGCTTGTGGACTTCCAGACGAGATGCTCTTGCGATTTTGCAGCGAAGGTGGCGTCGTGGTCACCGTTTCCAATTTTGTGGAAAAGTGTCTCTGATGCTTGCTTTACGGTAGTTGCATGAAATGTCACTGGTTCTGCCTGCTACAGACGCGGGCGCTCATACCCACAACATTCGTGGGGTATCTGTACAGTCGTCCAACGAGGGGTGGAGTTGTTCGTTACATGGGAGCCTATGAGGGGCGAATGCCCAGGCTCCCGAGCCGGGTTTGCAAGGGCGTCTTCTCTCGAAGTAAACGTATGCAGCCTCTTTGTATGCTCGTGCAAAGCTTTTCTAAACAGTCAAGAGAAGTCTCCCAGGCAGCCGGGGAGTCCAAACCCTGTGAAGTCCTACCCGAGCTGATGTTCTTATGGGTTTTTTCATGGTTGAAAGACGGATCTTGGACATCCCTGCTGCAGCCCACCGAAGACCCGGTGACCTCGATGCGTGACTGCACGAGAGAGAATAGAGGGGTGCACATGATGTGTGTGCGTGCATATCATATTCATTCCATATACCTTCTTCCTAGAGAGCTCTGTTTGCGAGCACCTGGCGGTTTTCTGGGTACCGGCTATGTGGTTCATCCAGCTTTGAAGCGCTCTGTCAAGATTCTGGGGCATTGAGCTCCTGATTGCCTTGTCTGCAGCAGCCTGCTCGTGTGAAACTCTGCTAGTCCGAGAGAGGCCCTACGCAGCATCCAAAGTATTGAGGCCCAGAGTTCGATTTGTTGCCCAGCTAAGCAAAACTATGCTTCCCATCATGAAATCGGCGATGTACACAGACCTGTCCGCAATGGAGAATTTGAAGTTACTCGTTTGAAGTCCGAAGCAACAGGACCTGACAATTAGTGGATCCGGAAAAGGGCTCAAACTACGAACCAAGGTAGAATGTGATCATCGTGATCCAAGGGAGATGCCGGAGTGACTATCCCCCCCAGGAATGTGGTACGGGGTAGTGAAGACAATGGTTTGGTGTTCAGGCGAGGCGTGGTGTGCTCCGGAAAGCACGATTCAGTGAAATTCGGGGGAACATTGTGTGGCAGGTCTTTGAACCTTTCCAGTACATTGGCGGAAGCATGTTGCTCATGCCTCAGGAACCCGCTGGCACATGAAACATCCTGGCCGCGGTCCTGAGTCCCGCAAGAAAATCCGAAGAGCCTTCTGAACCACGTATCTGAATCTCGCCAGTACACAGGATGGGAAGCATTGTCCAAGACGTCTCTTTGCGGTCTCCTGGTCGTCTACCGCTGGTCTTCTGGTGATCCTGGTCCTCCTGCAGTGATCGTAGTGGTCACCCCGGCGGTGGTCCACTTCACGCCCAGCATCCACGGCCATCCTCACTAATATGGCCGTCCTAGTAGGTCCCAGTATCTATGTTGCTGCAGTTACGGTCTGAATCAGTGTTCCGAACTATAGAGTAGAAGAGGGGTAGACATAACGTGCTAGACGACGTATTGCTCGTAGCACCAAAAATCATGTTAATCAGGCTCCGGGTCATGTTGTCATGTCCATCGCAATGGTCATCACGCAGGGATACGACACGAGTAATCAACGTTGCAGGGCTACTGCAGCCCGTACTCCTCGCGTGTACATAGCATGTTTTCTCCCTCCGAGCAAGAGTAGCTTTCACGGACACCATTGGACACCTTGACCGCGTGTCTCTGAAAGTCTGACCTCAGCAGTTTATGTGCCAAATTTTCGGGTCTGCGATGGGCCTCTGTCATTCTAACCTCCTCAGTTCTGCAGTCAATGACTCCAATAGTTTGCATATAAGCCCTGACCCATCAATGGCGAATTCTCGAAGTGTAGCTTGTGACTTGTGGGATAATCTGCAAGCTTCAGGGCTGAGGCTTGGGTTGAGGGACGAGGACGCCCCGTTTTTCGGATTCCGGACCAAGCCCCTGCATCAGCGGTGGGTGGAAGGGTTCGTGTTGTTGAGCTCGCGCTGTCAGTTGCATTTCAAGCTTTGTGCGCGCTGTGGCTGTTGCTGCGAGGGCTCGAAGAGGCTTCACCCACCATTCATTACCACCAAGGGCACCAAACGCACCACCCTTTGCGCCAAGATGTCGGACTACGGAGCTGACAGCGTCTCGCTGAGCATGACACGAACCAGCAGCGACATCTCTGAAAGCTCGGAGGAGCTCCGAGGCAGGGAAGGAGGGGATAGCACATGCTTTCGGACGCGCCCTTCGACTGCCTAGGTCCGCCGGGCTTGGAGGACTCCACCGGCGACACCATCCGCGAGCTTCTGGACCGGGCCGTCCATTCCCTCCGCGTCGCCACGAATCAAGCCGCCCGGCGACGGGTCCGCCAGCGGCTTCAGAGGCAGACTGAGTCATGGGTAACATGAAGACATTGCGAAGAGGCAGTTCTCACAGCTGTAGCATCCCGTCGCAGGAGGCTCAGCGACTTCTTGACGAGGGACCAGTACGAGAAGGCGATGCAGCAGTTCAAGTTCCTGTGCGAGACCCGGCTGGGCTACGTATGGCGAGTGGCCCAGCACGGCGATAAGCCTGCTCCGGCACAGACCGGTCCCGGTGTGTGTTACTTGAACTTCAACGAGCTGAGTGGGGAATGGGAGCACTCCTTCGTTTGATTGACTTTGACTTCGGGCACAGCTACCTCGTAAGAGGCACTTGTGGACATCCAGAGGAGGTGATCTTGCTTTTCGTTCTGGCACAGCAGCCACACTGTACGTGTTCAGAGCTTCCAGTTTTGTTTCGCAAGAAGTGCTATGAAGCACCTTGTCTGAAATTAGTCTGAACTCTCAGCATCGGTCGCGAACAGCCGCGGCAGACCTGCTGCAGTAGCAGACGCCGGCGCCCGACACATCTGCGGCGCACTTGTGCAGGTTTATTCGAGGGGTGACGATTTGCTCGTTGACCGGCTGGCACTTTCGCCGAGATTCCTCGATACTAGTATCCTGGTACCTCCAGGCCTAGGACTTGAGCGGATCTCGAGCCTGCTATGCAAGCCCCAGACGGGGCGCCGAATTCAAGCCCAGCCAAGTCTGATCTCAGACAGCCCGCATGCGACCGCGGCAGCGTGAGCAAACGATGGTGCTCTGCTGTTGGATCTTGCTTCGTGTCCCAGCCTCTTCGTGATTCCGGCAGACTTGACATGTCAACTTAAGCAAAGATCGAGCTTGATAGCCTTTAGCACGACCGAACTCGGGTCGATGGGTGTTTTCTGGGCTCAAGTCTCACCTGCCTTTCAGGGCGCGAAGGCCCACGACGCGAAGCTTCAGCCTCCACCCGGCTTATTGGCAGATTCAATCCGTGCCGACTGCCCTCCCAGATGCACCTACGAGGGACCCTTGCCTGAGCTCCCATGTAGGGGCCTTCTTTGCGCCTATCAATCATGAAATGCTTGTAAGACTCGCGAAGCAGAAATCCCTGGCCCCTCATGTCCGGGCCGTGAAACCCAAAGCCTCACCCTGCAGTATCCCTACTTCTTCGGGCCCTGCATGCTGGGCCATGCTAGTGCGCCGCCAACTGCAGGCATCATGCTGCGTTTCCATGGATGACTCCCAAGACCGGTCTTCCGTGTGGCAAAGTCGTGAGTGGTGTTTTGCTCCGGTTGAAGGATGTCTACGGGAACTGTTCCTATGATCTCTCGAAGCAGTTCAGTTTCGGGCTAAATCGATCTTCAAAAGCAGGCTGGCTTGCTTCACGCTCTGCTGGGGCTCAGCGTGCAGCGGCCCACGCCAAAGGCCAGGGGAAGTCACTTGCCCAACGAGAACTCGATCAACTCCTTCAGCGAGCCCTTGCAGTGGCAGGGAGCAATAACAAACATCTTCCACGATGATCCGCTCGGCTATGTCCCATGGGATCCCATCCGAAGCCTGTCTGCATGGGTATGGTCTTGGTGCTGCGTGATTCTGCTTGATTTGCTAATTTGAGCAGCCCTGACGAGGAAACGTGCCGCTGCCTGACTGGGCAGGACCGTTTAATTGGGATCACGGGCTGGCTCTTCGTGTACGATGATGGGACGGTTCGGTCACAGTTCTGTCTGTCGAAAGCGATTCACTCCCAGTCCCAACCAAGGATTGGGCAGGTTCGTTAGGCGTTGCCATCAACAGGCCCAGTTGCGTTCTCACCACATATGCCTCATCTCAGCAGGAGACTACAAGGACATCAATCGCCTGTCGTGCACATTTTCGGCAGACCAGCTCTTCCACTGGCTCGGTCCTCGGTATTTTTCTAGGCTAAAGGCCGATGCTTCTGCGTTATGGGGCCATGGTCTGCAGGCCGGACCTGAAACGTGGCTTGTCCATGTGGTTGGAGTCCCACCTGCAAGCCGCTCAGACAGACGGACAGAGGGCTTCTCGCTCCCTCCCCTGCTTGGGGCTACGGATTTTCCGAAGGCGAGGCTATGGCAACATGACCCAGATCTTTTGGGACCGCTTCTCTGTGCTTGCTGCACCTAACGTCTGAGTCGTTACGCGAAAAGCCTGCATTGGTCAAGGAGCAAATTCGCCCGATACAACATGCGGAGCGCTCAGAAGGGCTCGCACTCAGAGCTTGTGGTGTGGAGCGGCTTCTGAAGCAGCAAGGATTTGACCAACATCATCAGTGCCCACGAAGTGATGGTCTCCCGGGCCGAGCTCTCAGCAGAGATCCAGGCCCACGAATGCGACTCCACAGAAATCGACCCCCAAAACGCCACAACCCTTGCACGCAGAGGGCCTGCGGAGAGGAGACGAGGAGCGAGCAAGAGCGAAAGAGAGAAAGAGAGAGAAACTCCTCACCACAACCCTGACGAAAGAAAAGAGAGCCTCCATGAGGGCTTCGCCCGTTCAGTTCCATACGAAAGAAGCAACCTTGTGGCGGACCGTGTTGTTGCTCAAAGAGAACGCAGCAAACAATCGCCCCCAAGCCAGGAAAGGCCCTTAGAAAACACCTTCGAGTCAGAAGGACTGAGCAAAAGGGAAGACAGAAGGCCTCGAGGCCGAGCGTCAGAGCCAGAGCCTTGAGGCCGAAGGCGACAGAAGGCCCCATCGGAAGCAGAAAGACAAGAAACGCTTTGGAGACAAAGGTTTTCAAGCGAGTTTTTGTTAGCTGGGCGGGGGCGACCGGCAGAGGATTGCATTCTGGGCATCCTCGCTGTGCGCACCGTGTACCTCCTGACCATGAACAGGACCTACCGCGGGGCTCTCAGATAGCGGGTCCACCGAGAGAGAGAGAGAGAGAGCTCCCCTTGTCCCTAGCCCTGGCGAAAGAAAGACTGGAAGAGAGTGGGACCCACAGGACAGGAAATGGTCCTTGAGACGGACTTCCTGATGAGTGCCGCTGCCTCAGAAAACAGCCGCTCTTGATCTCGGGATTAGGCTCATGAATGGGCAGGGATTCGAAGTGGAGACAGTGAGACGGCTTAGGATTGGTACTACCTGGCCTATCGCTTTCCGTTCTCCTTGCTGGCCGGGGGCAGAGAGGGCCCCGAGACCGAAGCATTCGAGAGCCTAAATTCCAATGCTGCCAATGCCGCGAGGGCTCGAGGAGCGTTTCCCAGCTCATTCCCACCAACCGCACCAGCCTTTCGCCAAGATGTCGGACTACGGAGCTGACAGCGTCTCGCTGACCATGTCACGAACCAGCAGCGACATCTCTGAAAGCTCGCAGGAGCTCCGAGGCGGGTGTGGCATGTCGTACCTCGTGGCCTTTCTGGTGTGTGAGGGAGGGGATGGGTGCGAGTTTCGATTTGTGAGAAAGAGACATGGGCTGTGAGGTGAGTCGTTCTTGGCAGGCCCTCCGGGCTTGGAGGACTCCACCGGCGACACCACCCGCGAGCTTCTGGACCGGGCCGTCCATTCCCTCCGCGTCGCCACGAATCAAGCCGCCCGCCGACGGGTCCGCCAGCGGCTTCAGAGGCAGACTGAGTCGAACTCTGTCGAAGATGAGCATGTAATTAGCGATTTTTTTAAATAGCTGTAGCTGCCATCCCGTCGCAGGAGGCTCAGTGACTTCTTGACGAGGGACCAGTATGAGAGGGCGATGGAGCAGTTCAAGTTCCTGTGCGAGACTCGGCTGGGCTACGTATGGCGAGTGGCCCAGCACACCGATAAGCTTGATCCGGCACCGCCAGGTCCCGGTGTGTGTTACTTGAACTTCAACCAGCTGAGCGGGGAATGGGAGCACTCTTTCGTTTGATTGACTTTGACTTCGGGCACAGCTACCTCGTAAGAGGCACTTGTGGACATCCAGAGGAGGTGATCTTGCTTTTCGTTGTGGCGCAGCAGCCATACGTTTTCAGAGCTTCCAATTTTGGTATGCAATTGCAGAGTCTGCGGATCTCGGCATCGGCCGCGAACAGTGTGTCCGACTTGCAGCTGCAGGCTTCAGCGCCCAATTCAATGTGGCGCACCTGTACAGGTTCAACTGAGGGGTGGAGTCGTGCTCGTTCGCTGGCTGCACTTTCAAGGACGAGAGTCCTCATGCCCTCATCTTGTTTGGCGGAGCCCGCTAAGCCAGAGGGTCCCGAATTCATGCAGCCTTCCAAGACTTCCGGAGCCTGAAAGCATCCTCCGCCTGCCTGGGCGGGTGGCAAGTAAGGAGACAAAAGAAAAGTGCGTGCAGAAGAGTCCTTTTCGACCCCCTAAATGGAAGAGGGTTATATAGATGTGTAAGCTCCTTCAGGTCGACACCGGCTGGGCTCCCATCATCTTCTCGCCTCGCTCCTGACTGGACGCCCAAAACAGGAAAAGAGCGCTCGGGCCGCGGCCCTGTGGACCCAAGGTCCTGGGCGCTTCTCTCACAAAGCCTCAAACAGCCTTGGCCCCAGAGCGAGCCGGCCGGAGGGGCCGGGGGGTCGGTGGGCCGCGGCCCCGCCTGGAAGGGGGCCTTGCAGCTGAGGACCAACCCGCACTTGGTCGAGAGCTCAGACCCTGCAGGTTGCGAGGTAGACTCGGCTTATGCGCAGTTGGCTTGTCGCTGCGATCATGTTTTCTGAAGCAGGTATGGACGGACTGTGAGGAAGTTCCTGGCATTGGACACATGCCCTCAGACATGCAGGCCGCAGGCATGTGACGATTGCGGGGTGGGATACCATGCTGTGGTGGGAATGTGCTGAATACCTCCGCACCCCCGACATGTTCAAATTCTGCTGCAGACTGGAAATCTTTACAAGACTGCTGCACTGGCGGCGGATCCAGAGGGAGACATATCTCTAAAGTTTCTAGAAGATAGTCTAGTTTGGTATACCGAAAACTCCTCTGTCTAAATTGCAAGAAGGTCCAAAGATGTTGAAAAGACCACTGGTTTTTCTGAACCTTGAGCTGCTTTCCGAGTGAAGGAGCTGGCGACTGCTCCTGCCGAGCTGTGGCTCCCTCCTTGGCCCGACAACCGCTGCAAGTGTGGAGTTGTACGTATGTAGGCAGGCAGGCAGGCAGGCAGGTAGTGCGCTCATTCTTGCGAGCGCATGGATGATGTCAGTTGATGTTTCAACCAGCACGGTGACGCGTGCCGCCAGCAGCTAGTAATTGTTGTCGTCGTCAGCGTGCTCATTCTCTTGAGCAGCCCTTCAAAGGCAAAACCTGCTGGAGTCCATGGCGACTGCAGACGATGCGGCGGCCCCGAGCAGGGTCGGAGGGGCTTGCGTTGTACATATCTTGTGAGTCAGGCGATGCTGAAACGCTGCCCGTTGGCCTGGGCGTACATTGCCGGTCTGCTATCGGCTGCGGAGGACAAAGCCTTCTGCAAGTCGCAGGCACTGAAGTTGAAAGTCTTGCGCCAGGAGCAGGACCAGCTTTGGACCTAAGCGCATCGCGGAGTTTCACTCCCTTCTCTGCCAAAGTCCAAGGTTTCGGAAAGCATTGCTTGACGTGTCCCAGCAGGCCTTAAGGCTCCGGAAGGGATTGTCTACGGCTTTGCAGTATCCACAACCGCGATGACAGGCATTACAGGGAGAAGAACAACTTCACCTTTGCCAACGTGCTGCTGTCGTCCTGGCACGAGTCTCTTCAAGAGGGGACACGATTCGCTGTGTTTAGAAGAGTGCCAGTTTCTTTGGCTAAGGAGCCTTTTCGGACCTCTGGCTCACTCTGCCTTTGCCTTGGCCCGGGTCTCGGAGAGGTGCCATGAATTCCTAATCATGAGACCTACCAGCCTGCAGGATGAGAAGACCGGGCTCTCCAAGAAGAAGAGTTGCGGTTTGCTTTGGTGTCCCGAGGGTGGCACGTGTGGCACTTGTCGGTCTTATGACCGTCCATGGAGCATCTTCCACAGGGCATGTCTCTCTGCCGAGGCCGAACTATCTAATGTGCAAATGCGAATGGGTTTTCACTTCGAATTACAGGACCGCCTCTGAACCAGATGCTGTCGAGCTGCAAAGATAGCTGTTCAGGAACACGACTGTGTGCATTTTCATGGTGGATACTCGGCGCAGGCTCGATGTCTCGCGATTCTCAGTAATTCGGAAAGTGACTTGCTTTGCCGTGTGCAGGTCATCCTTGAGGAACATCACGTCCGTGCTGAACGCGAGGCAATTTTGTCAAAGTGCGCACGACGAGCTGTGATTCTGATTGCAACCATCTGTGAGGTACTGGACACTTTCCTTCGGGGTCAATAAAGCCTATGCAGCTGGCCGAGAAGTTCCGTGTCTAGGCAAAGTTTCCTGGAATCCCTACGCTAAGCGCTAAGGCACAAGACCACGGCTATGACATTGACTATGCTGCTTGCTCAGAGCGCAATGCAAGGCAGCGCAACCCAGCGCAAGTGCATGGTCGGTGCTACGGGAGGTCAGACCCGACGAGGCTTTGCATTACCCAAACAGGAAGGTGGGTCCCCGGCCAAGCATCGCCAAGCATCGAGGGCCAGCGGCTTCATGCTCGGCCCAGGCTGGGCGAAGGTGAAGGTCCTCATAGAAGAACTTTCAAAGCGCGGTCCAGAGCGCTGTGCCTATGGCGTCTCGATCGACACGGCCCGGCGGCCCGAATCGTCTTGGGGTCTTGAGTCCCCGTCGGACTTGCAGTTGTGCGTACAGGGCCGTCCATGTCCGTCGTGAGTGGAAGTGGGGCTGGGGTCTTGATGAGCTTCCAGTCTGATGCAACTTGACGTCATGGTGGGAACGCAATAGGAGCCATGCTTCACAGTGAAAGCTTCTGGCGATGTTAAGTTGCATACACAGCTAGCTAGCCAACTGATTACCGGAGGTGTATATTGGCACGCGCTACCCTGTCATCGAAAGACCAACGTCCCGTCCGTCGGAACCCCTCAAAGGACGCCTTCATTCGCACCTCCGAGCCACTCGCTGCTATCATCACAGACTATGGCCTCACCGAGAACAAGCCGCAACCCAAGAGCCGTAGGCTCAAAGCTTCTTGTCGAATCTCCATTCGACGGTATTGTGCATGCGGCTTGCGACCATCTGAACAACTGAGAGAGGGGAAGCTCCCGGCGCAAAGCTGAGCCGCCTAGCAAGTTCGGTTTCGCTACGACACTAGAACAGCCCTCGACAAGCACATGTCACAACCTGTGAGCCACTTCTCGACATGTGAAAAACAGAAGCTGTGGCTTGAAGAAAATGTAGACCCCAGAACGACTGGTACCATGCTGAGGCTCATCATGTTCTCGCAGGTGCCTGCCCCTTGCCTAGGGCCTAGGGGCTGCTACATGCCTCCATCTGTCAAGTCTTTAGGTGAGTAGACAGGAAGCTCAGGCGAGTAAGAAGCGAGTTCCTCTTTCGTTTCCGAGCCGAGAGTTTGCAGAGGAGTACCACGTGGAAACTGCCGACAAGGGGACTGACGACATCAGCCAAAAAGCCTTCATCAACGGCGGCTTCTTCATCGCCACCGCCCCGGCATCGGCTGAGCAGATAGCATGTAGCCTCATACGACGGATGCTTCTAATTCCCGTGGCACTATGGGGGTCGAAAGCGTGAAGCGTCAAAAGAATTTCAGAGACGGAGGTTTATTGGAAACGGCGTCTGTTGGTGGTGGTGGTGGTGGTGGTGGTGGTGGTGGTGGTGGTGGTGGTTGTGGTGGTGGTGGCGGGTTGGTTGTCATAGTCGTTGTGGTGCTCTATCACTGTCTAGGCATCGACGCTGGCAATCGTGGTCGTGCCTTCGGTCCATTGCTGCTTGTAGAAGATAGTTGCTGGTTGCCAATCCTGCTGGAATGATCACTGTTTCTGGTGCTCGCTTCTTCGCATGATTATGCTTACTCCTTGTATCCTTGTCGTCATATGTTCTTACAAACCAGGCTAAGTCATCCGGCATTGTCAAAAAGACCGCAGCTTTTGCCGTTCCTGCCCGTATCTCTGATTGCTACTATGGTGGGGGGTTTTGGCATATCATCTCGAACCCCAAGCCTAGACCCTTAATCCGTAGAGTCTTATTGACTCCAATGTCCGAAATCCGAAATCGGCATTATGAAATGTGATCGGCAAGCCCCGAGGTTCGTAACACCCCGGAGGGACTCGGACTTTTGCAGGAGTGGCGCGGGGCTCGCATGGGTTCACGGTTCTGAGCTCTCCCTCTCGACTGTCGATTTTGGGCTTCAAGCATAGGCACTGATGCACACCCGAGGTATGATGTGCCAGAAACTTACGAGGACACCGTAGAGGCCGCTGCCCTTTTCTCGGGTTTCCTGAAATCTGCAGGATATGGCCCCCCTCAAAACCGAGAATCCTCAAGGCACGCGGAAGAGATGTGCCATGTAAGAACAAACACCTCCAAGCCGAGACTCAGAGGCCTCAACATGTGCTGGGACCAGAAGATGCAGCCAAAGTATGCTGCCGTGGTGGACTCAGCTGTGCTCCTGCTGCTTCGTTGAGCCGATGTCCAACCGCTGCCTCTCTCAAAAGGGGCACAAATCCGGGGGCACCTCTTCGGCCTTTGCCTCCCCGGCTCTCGATGCTCGATGGATTGCCCTTACGATGAGGCTCTGCCGCCTTGCAGCTTCTCGGGCGGCCCTACGGTTGATCTGGAGCTTTCCACCGATTGACTCTTGAAGCAAAGCCAGTGCCCCTCCCTTTGTGACTCGGGCTGGCCCCCACGATCCTTGACATAGGTCGTATTTCCTATATGAACTAGATTTGATGGGTCTTTGGTGGGTCTTTCGGTCAAGCTCTCGACTTGGGATTAGGAGCTCTGGGAGAATTTCCTTTCCTCGGCCCACATCAGTCGAGGCCTCTTGGGCGCTGAGGATCCTGACAGCCAGGCCTTAAGCTTGCGCAGCCGGACATTGAGAATCCGGCAGAGCGCACGCCTCGTCGTGCATCCGAAAGCCCACATCGAGGCCTCGGGGACCTAGTCCAATTTTATGGGTTGGTAGCTCAGAAAAGACTGATGCGACTAGAGGGCCTGACCACAAGGATCTGCTGAATTGGTACCCCGAAGAAACAGGAGGGGGGGTCCGTTCTTCCGCTCAAACATCTCGGAACCGCCGAGTTGTCGACGGGCGCCCTTCGCTTGGATGGGGAGCTTTGGGTGGGTTGCAGCCCGGAAAAGCCCCACGAGGGCGACTTCCAGCTGCGTCTGCTTGGCTCCTGGGAGGAGCCGACAGCACAGTCAGAGTTTCAAATTGTAAACATGCGGTTTAAGAGGCCCGAGGCTAAAGCTTCTAAGCAGCTCCTCCGGCATGTTGCAAACTGCCAGGAGAGGGATGCCGCAGTTGACTTCAGCTGGCGCCAAGCCGGGCTGCCAGACGTAGCCGATGGCGATGGACTGAGCACAGCCTTTCCGAAGGCCCCAAGGATGAGTGAGCTGTCGGTGGAAGGGGGGGTTGGGGGGTGGGGGGTGGAGGAAAACTGGGCTCACTTTGGTTGCTGGGTGGATTTTTGCTTCTTGAGGCTCTGTTGGTGACGAGTACTGGGCGCTTGGAGCTGCACGGTTGCCCCCGTGCTTCGTGGCAGTATTTGGAGCAGACGGCCTTTCGAGGGGACACAAAAATTGTGCTGCCCGAAGCAGTGCACCTCGCAGCAAGGAAGGATAGACGTCTCTTTTGCGAGCAGTCGTTTTTATTCGGTATTCGTGTTTGATGGCTTCTGCCTTTATAAAAGAACTGGTGCTTCGGCATAGCGCTGAAGGGTGTCTTCTGATCTGCCAGTGTCAGGAACTGGAGGCCAGGCGATTCGGTGGTGGTCGGTGCCAGCTCCGAAGACATGGACGACTCCGAGATGGCCAGGATTCTGGCAGTAGAAGGGAAAGTCCTGGTACTCCAAGAAGGGCTTCGAGCCAGGCACGAGGGAGCCTTCGGAGAAGCTCGTCTCAATGCTCCTGTGGGCTTGCTGACCCGGAATCTTCGCATCTCGGGTGATTCCCGGTCCCAGCCGGAGCTTGCGGAGCTTACGGAGCGGCTCTGGGCCGGGTGCCAGGAGGCCTATAGCGCCATGGATGCCTTGGCACTGCAAAGAGTGCGTCGCGCCTGCTTTGGGGGCCACCTGCTTTTCGTTCAAAACTCCAGGATCCACATCGAGCATTCAGAGTTCTCCTTGCTGGGGCAGGCGCTGGAAATGGCAAGGTATCCGGTACATTGGCACCTGGCAGGCAATGCATATGGCCACTTCATCCGCAACAGCTCTTTTCACCACAACTTCCAACGCTGCGTGACTATACACGGAAGTGAAGGTGTAGAGGTGCAGAGCAACGTTTGCTTCCAGACCTTCGGTCACGCCTTTTATCTTGAAGATGGCATCGAGACTGGCAACTCCTTCGACAGAAACTTGATTATCTCCGTCCACCAAGGCGGATCGGTTTGCAGTGACTGGATATTTGGGAAGGGGCCACGCACAAACCTGCAGTTGGGGCCTTCAGGCTTCTGGATCACGAATCCGAACAACAGCTTTTCTGAGAATCATGTGATCGGAGTTGGCACGGGCTACTGGTTTACTTTCCCCACGGATGGATGTGGCCTCGCAGCGCTGCCGGCACTGGAGCTCTGTCGCCGCCGAAACCCCGTGACAGCTATGGGCTTGAGCGCCCGGTATTTCAACGATACCAGGACTGCCAGGGAAATCTGGTGTTTCTTGGAGCTGTGTAGCTGTCTTTCTCAGTTCCCGAATCCGAAAGCACGGCCGACTAAAGCAGGGCCGTTTCTAGGCAGGGAGAGAAGGGACGCCGAGAGCGGAAAGCTTGAGGAGTGGCCACGGCTTTGGGAGTTGGTGGTTAAGACAAGAGCCGTCCCGCACCCGAGTTCCAGATTTCCGTCGCAATGCGGTGGGCACCGCATCTCGGGGAGTGCATGTGGATGGACGAGTGCTGAACTCTGCTGACGAACATGCCCCCTGTTGGGGCGATGCCTGCTCCAGCTGCTCAGGCCCGATTTGAAAAAGGCAAGATCGCAACACTCAGACATGGAAGGTACTCGATACCAGAGTAGAAGTCCCTCCAGCAGGGTTTGGGGGTTGTTTTCGGCTTTCCGGAGGTCCCTTGGAGGGATCCAGCGCCTGGGTCCCCATGCGCTTTGATCCGAGCTTGCCTTTGGCGCAGCGGAGCTACCGCTTCCAAGCGAACCGCTTCGAAGACTTCCTCGCGGCTCACATTTCCGGAGGCCCTGCAGAGTCAGAGTCTCGAGCTGTTTGGGCCTTCGGTGGCTACATCCACTTCACTGGTGCCGTGTTTTGGAACTGCCGACATGTTGCTGCCAGCATGCCTGAGCTCACTACGGCATGCTTCAAGGTTACAGAAGCATCACCCCCAGGCTTCACGCTGGTCTTTGAAAGGTCGCTATTCATCAGCGGTGAGCTCTCGGAGACTTTCTTCCAGCTCTACGATGCCGGCATTCACGTCAAGAACAGCCGCTGGCTCCTAGCTGCCAGCTCCTCGCCAAGCTTCAGCGTGGCCAAGCCCAAGTGTGCTTTCGGAGGCAACGGGAATCCGATCTACTTGGAGGGCAGTTGGGAACTGCGACAGAACTTGACAAAGGACCAGGACTTTGCGTGGGCCGTCCAGGCCCTTGGCACTGGCATCCGGATGACCGCAGCTTCACAGATTGTCAGCTTTGATTGTATCGCCTGGGAGTCTCCCTACATCGAGGGTTCTTATGTCTATTCCCCGGATTCGTTTGGCTCGGAAACAGGTACTCCGACAATCCTTGCCCCTGACAGAGAGCGGCGGACGTCACGGCGGGTGCTGGGGCGTTCTGCTTGTGCAGCATACCTGAAAGCCACGAAGCCACGCTTCTTCTGCGGCAGGTCCTTCGGTACCTACGGCCTCTGGTGCGGCTCAGGCATACCGGTCGAAGAATGTCCAGGTGCGGCGGATGCTACGAACTGGTACCGCTCTATGCTTCCATGGTCAAGAGGCGAGAGAAGTGAGGACAGTAAGGATAAGGTGGGCTCCACGACGGCGGAGCCTGTGTGGACCGGGCCTCCGCCAGCTGGCGACTGTGATTTTCCGGATAAGCCTCCGCAAAGGACACCCTTCACGTGGGACCCCTCTTGTCTGGGAGGAGGTCTTGGTTGCAATGCAGATGGTAGCCACATGGAATGCCGCTGGTGCGGCTTCGGTCCCTACCTGCCTTGCCCAGAAACTCAAGAGGCCGCGACTGGAGCGACTGGAGACTCGGATCTTCTTGTGGGACTATTTTCTTTGCTCCTAAGCGCCTTGTTTCTGAGTGTGCTGGCTGCTCTTTGCTGGTACATCTCGAGACGCCGTGCGCGGGCCCGGCCCAGCTGTATCTCGCAAATTCGCCCTCCTCGCCAAGAGGCGCCAAGCCTCCTTGGACGAACCACTCTGCCCGCCGAGAAGCCCCTCCGTGACCTTCCCCTGCACTAGTCACAAGATGTCGCAAGTATGTTTTCCTGTTTTGCTTTGAGTCCCCCAATTCGGGCGACGTGTACAGGCCCACCACAAGTGTGGAAACCAGCGGCAGAGACCGCACAGCGAAATGCAGGACTGTTCGAGTTGAGGCTTTCTGCTGGCGGCCAGGCGTCGGAAACCACAGTACGCCGTTTCCAGAATCCAAAGGAAGCGCCTTTTGCAACTGGCGGTTCGAAGCGCTCCTAGTGCACACGGCCTGCCGGGAAAAAGAGATGCTTAGCAAAGATTAGCAAGAAGCCAAAAAGCGGTTGTGGACAACAGCGCGGACGAACCGGTTTTGCAAGCGCTGACAGTCTTGCGTCTACCGACGGGGTCCAAACCGGAACCTAGGTGACGGCTCTTGCCAGCGCCTCAGGGCAGGTTAGCAGCATGGCAAAGCCAACGCTCCGACAGAGAGCCTCAGGGTGAGCCGCATCTGTTCACAGCACCGCTGGGTGTCGCCATCCGGCACAACTGGTTCAAGGCGCGAGGGCCGCGGGGGGTTTCACCGACTCGAGCCTTTCTGCTGCAAGTCCTTGCGCAGGACCTGCGCTTTGAGCAGGAGTTGCAGGCAGGGGGTTCCGTCGGCACTCTCCATGTCCGAAATGTTTTTCTTCAAAAGCCTCGCCCTTCCTGCGCGAGAAACCCTTAAAGGATCCACAGGGCAGTTGCATTATGTCCAGCTTTCTCCTGTCAGTCGGTCAGAGCACCTTGTTTTGGGGTCAGTTCGAGGCTACGAAGCCGAACATGCTTTGCTCCTTGCGGCTCCAAGCGGCGTCACGCTTTCAGTCCTCGCAGTCCTCAGGACATTCTCTTGCACCGGCTCCAGCGTAGCAAAGAGCTGAGACGCAAGACTAAGAGCACGTTGTTGCGAGATGCGCAGTGCGTCGACGCCGAGGATACGACTGCATCGTTTGCCAAAACGTGTACGATTGGGTAGCAGCCTCAGGGTCTCTCAGGCTTTGGCTCTCCAGGCGCCCGCGCCCGCGCAGCGTGCCGCCCGCCGTCTCCGCAACTCCCGACAAGGATGATTCCAACAACACGGACCCCGGATGGCTCTGAGCGTCTGAGCTTGGACCCGGAACTCAACTGGAGCCTCACGCCCTGCCTTTTTGTGGCTGGTGTGCAGGTTCCTTCAGACTGCTTGGGAGCTATGAAAATTCTTCTGCAAATCTTGCTCGACCTCTGACTGCAGTCATCGCCTCATGCTCGTGTCGGTTTGTGCCTGCATTCCACCGCAGCCATTCAGAACAAAGCCTGCCATATCATACGGCTGCATGGCTTCGACCAGCTTTTTCGATGAGGTCTCCCTCAGCATTCGACCCTGAGCTTGTTCATCGATGTCAGAAATCGCATGAAGTTCAGACTTTGCTTAGGAGAGGGAGTGGCGGTGCTGACTTTGCTGGGAGAGTCTGGAACCTTGCCATGGGGGACCTCCCGGCAAGAACACCGATTCAACCCTGCTCCTCGGCTTGCTTTTGCCGGCTGTGCACTGGCTGTGCACCTCAAGAGCTTTGAAGTTCGTGAGGTGATGCTGCGAGCCATGACCGCCGCACTCGATGCTGTCGAGGGAGATGACTCCGTCAATGTGCTTCCAGACCAGGGCCTCGCGACTGAAGCTTTCCACCTTGGCCCTTCCATTCTTAGGTGCTTGTCGTCACCAACAAGGGAAGCTTGGCCGGCAGAGCCCTGCCTAAACTTGGAAAGAGGGTTTGGGGTTGAGCTCAGGCAAGTTTTGGTCCAATGGAATGGACCTGAACTACCTGGACAAGCACCCAGATGAGGCGGCGAGCCTCTTGAAGGAAACGGATCGGCTGATCGCAAGGAGTCGTCATGGTTCTTGATCTGTGAATGCAGTAATGCGTGCATGTAAATGTTTGTAGGGTCAGTTGCCCTTCTTTCAGGATCTGCTGTTTTCCACGGCCGACTGTAGCAGCCATCCGGGGTCACTGGTGCGCGACCGGTGGAATGATGGGCCTCTTCACTTGATCTAAGGGACCCCTTCGCCCTTCGCTGCTCCAATTCCTTTCCAAGCTCGAAGCACCCCCAAGTCCGAGAGCGTTTGCTCGCCCAAGTCGCAGAGAGTCTGTTTGCGCTCGCCCAACTCCCAGGTTTGGCCTTCGATTTCCGGCTCATGTCCCGGGACGCAGGAGAGCCCCCTACACTGCTCCGCGTTTTCATTTTGACTTGCCTGTTTCTTAGGATTCTTTTTCATCCCAGCTGTGGACCTGGGCCTGGTGTTCTCCCCCTTTCAGACGCAGCTCATGAAGGCGCGGAAAAGGGCGGGGCGGGGCTCAGGGTACCAGGGCCCCACATTGAGCGACAGGGCAGCCACAGAGCCGTGTGGTAATGCTACTAGGTTACTAGATACTACTTGTAGAGCCTTCTCGAGGACAGCCTTGTCGTCGCAAGAGAGGTAAGGGGAGGTATTGTTCCGGGGAGGCGAGTGGAGACGTGCATTTGCACAGGCTAAGCTTCCTCGCAGCATGCATCGGGACGTGCTCCTCTTCAATTCCAGGCCGCTGCCCAAACCTATGGTATGTTGTAGCAATACTATCGCAGGCTAAACTATCAATAATGTTTAATATTGTACTGCCGCAGGCCAGGTCTTCTACTAATGGCATGTACGAGCTTAGCAGACATGGGGGATTCTGGGGCGGGTGCTTCCTGTGCGTTGTAAAGGCGTTGGACTGGTTTGGAGCTGCTGGCAGCCGGGCTCGTCGATGAGGCGGTGGTCGGCTACGAGGTCCTGCGGCTTGCCCGGACCACCCCGGCCGTACACCACGGCTTAAACCAAGAGTATGGCAAGGATCCTGCCGTTCTGGTCCAAAGAAGTTAGGGCGTCCCATGGGGTGCCTTAGTGCTCGTCGAGACGAAGAACCTGTGGTATGCATCCGGCCTCGCACCGGACGCCGGATAGCTGTTCGGAGGCTGGTCAAGCCGTCTATGCCACTTTACCTTTCTTACGATGCTGGTCTAGCGGAAGAAGAAGATGATGCTGAGGGTTGCCATCATCAGTAGGCAGGTCGACTAGCCTAATGCCACATGTTGTGGCTTCAGGAATTTAGGTTCAGTTCGATGACTCTTGTTGCTTCTTTACCCAATCATGAGGACAATGACAATGGTAAGCGAGACGCGATATTGCCTTGTGTTTGCGTGTGTGTGTGTGTGGCTGGCATGGTGGCAGCTCGATGAAACGAATGAGAAACCAAGGGCACAAATCGCAGAATGCATGTCTTTAACTAGTCCCGTAGCTGTCCATATGTAAACATATTTATATATATATATATACATACATACATACACACATTTCTTAATGTATAGCTGTATTTAAGTTTACACATATAGCGGGAGGGAGAGATTCATTCATTATGGCACAAAGGCTTTCGCACGCACCTGCACGCATACACAGATACACAGACGCCTACATAGAGTTACATACACGCATAGACAGACACACACACACACACACATACACAAGAAAAAAAAAACGCGCGCACACACACACACGCACCTCTAGTGGCATAGAGAAGTCGATTAAACAGATATGGGTGTACATATTATACATGGGCGCGCGTGTACATATGTGCATCTGTTTGTATGTATGTGTATACGCATTTTTGCATATTGCAAGCCTGTGTCTGTGTGCGTGTTTTTATCTTACCTGTACTTGTGTACGTGCATGCATACCAGACATTACCAGACATTACATCCCGTTGTGTGCCGTATTTACACGGCTTACACTATGTTGCACTTCGTTACACTGCATACACGCGCATGCTCATGCATGCCTGCCGCAGCCTGCATGTACGCACTCGTTCACGCGACATACCGATGTATGCTGCAGTGGGTTTGTTTGTTTTTGTCTCCTTTGACCAAGGCCCCGGGCCCAGGCATTTGCAGCGTGGCTGCGGGCGAAGGGAACAGGGCCGGCCCGAGCGGCGCTTGGTCCCCTAAAGAGGCGGCTCTACGGGGAGGCAGGGACCCGGAAGACAGAAGGGGTCCCTTACATGGGATCCTGAATAAGGGCCTCTTTTGTAAGGGCTCCTTATGAGGACTGGCGCCACGAAGTAGAGCTTGGTGTTGGCATACCCAGATGCTCATATTATGGTGTAGTCATACAACCACTTAGGGTGGCTGATGTTGTTGTGGTCAATCTGGGCAGAACCTGTGAGGGATAGTCCGCGAGGCTTCCAAGGATGTCGGCAACGAAAAACAACTCGGCGGTTCGGAAACGGCAGTGACGTCGGGACAGAGCTGCGCATCCTTCAGCCGGAAGTGATCTCTCGCGCTTTGGGAAAGTAGAGCTTTCGGAAAATGAAGAATCCCGCGACGGAACTCAGCTCCTTCAAGCCCCGAAAGCCCCAAACCCTCAAGCACTCACGAAAGGCCTCCACGACTCCATGAGACAAACACTTCAGCATGAGCCCGTGCAACTCCGAGAAAGTTGGAGGTCCTCAATGCTTTGGAGGGCGGAGTGATGGATTTTCCCGGGCGCGTGGCCGGTGTCGACAGAGCTTCCCCTGGAGCCAAGCTGTAAAAAACGTCATGTGCATCTCTTAGGGGTTCGTGTTTTGCGGGAAGAACGGGTAGATTTCGGGTGCAGTCAGCAAAACGTACATTGCTTTCGGCCCGTGGGTGTCGGTGGTTTCAGGGTGATGCCTAGGCCTAGGCTGAGAGCTTTGCAGTTCTGGGCACCAAGCAGACGGTGGCAAGTCTCAATGCGCGTCTCAAGCTGCAGCTGTCTCGAAGGATGGATCTGAGGCTACTACATAGCACCCTGTTTAATTAAGGTCCCTTCAGCTCCAAGTCCAGGAACAGAACAACTTCCAAGGATCCAGATTCTCATGTCAGAGTGATGCACATACACCATCATTGTCCCCGACCGCGGGAGACCGAGGCTGATGCGCGAAGAGATGCGAAAGCAAACCTAGTGGACTCTACAGTACTTGCAGCTCTGTGGAAGTACTGGGGCCCTTTCCATCTCGGATAGGCATAAAGATACACCTCGAGCATTGAGCCATGATGTTTGGATGGGTGTTCCTTGTGCTTCTGGTGCTGCCTTCTGGACTCAGCAGCGATAGCTGTCCAGCAAACGGCCAGGCCCAAGGCGTCCATGTTCACAGAGGCCTGGAAGCCGGAGATGCGCTGAGGCCTGCAACGAGCAGAGCACCAAGAGGAAGGCCAAGTCTCCTCCCTCCCAAGAAGACACTCTTTGAAGCCACGCTCTCCAGGCTTTCTGGAAGAGCATGCGACAAGAAGGCGCCTTGGCACCGCCTTGGTCCTTGAGCGCCACGGGCAGTCTCTTTGCCCTGTCCTTTCAGAGGCCTCGAGCTCAAGCTTCGCCGGAAGACGGTCGAGGAGAAGGCCTTCGGTGGACAGCCTGCCCACAACAGGACCGCAATGGCCAGGGTCCAAGCAGTCAGTTGCCAGCGGCGGTATTGCTTGAGACCATTCCGTTCCTGCTTCTTTGCAGGTCTTGTCGGACGACGTCTTCTATGGCCGTGCTATCATGAAGATCCCACGCCAGGAGCGTAGCGCCTTGCGACAGTTGCTCGTCCGGTTGAGAAGGCTGCTTGCTGCACAGGCGGTCCTGACCCTGGAAACGGCCAGAGAAGAGAAGCTTCGAAAGGAGCTGACGGGCTTCATGGCTACAACAAAGGCTGTCTGCTGCTTCAAAGCCATTTTCGCGGCACTACCAAGGCTTCCTCTTCGAGAAGAGGAGCGACCGCTGACCGGGTGTGTCTTGCAGAAATGCTCGAGACCCGTAGGAAGCTGGAGATGGTCTACAACATCTCTAGCCGTTGGCCTGTAGATGAGTTTACGGTAGAAGCGCGAGACTGTGTCGAGCTTGCAAGGTGAGGACTACACCCATCTACTCAGCTTGGCCTATCCGCTCATTGCGGAAAGACGGAATCCTGCGTCGGTCTTTCACGAGTGGTGCTCGGCCCAAAAATGCGACAGCAGATTTGCATCGCCAGACCTTGCATGTATGGGCAGGGAGCCTTGCAAGGTTGAAGGCGACGGAGAATGCTTCCGTCTTCGCCTTGCAGCTGACGCATCGGCCAGGAGCTCTGAGGCTCGGAGATCGCTTTTTCAATTGACCTTGGCATGTTCAGGCAAAAGAAGGTGCTAACCGGTACCACCGTAGAGGATGCCATCCAGGTGCAGCTTGCCAATCTTGCCGCCACCCGACAGTTTCGTCATGCTTCCGTCAGGAGATGGCTTATAGGAAGCACCTGATCCTCGACACCGCATCCAACCTTACTTTCTTCAAGAAGATGCTTGGCCAGGCAAGTTCTCGGAGATTGATTCCTACAGGCCCGCCAAGTGATAGCATGTGCGCTGATTTGTGCGTCCAATGACAGAGCATAACAGCAAGAAAGATGTGGAATCCAGGCAAGGATCGGACCGGTATGGGATGTGTGTGTGTGTATGTGTGTCTGTATATATATATATATATATGTATATATATATATATATATATATATATGTATATGTATATATATTCATACATGTAGGGTCTGGGTTCAAGTGGACACATGACACCTGCCATGCAGTGTCTGCGGACAGTGCCAAGTGGAGCCAAAAAAAATACATATTGTGTGTGTGTGTGTGTGTCCTTTTTGTCAGACTAGTTGAGGGCTGCGCCTAGGGGCGTGAACCGACTCAGAACGAGGGGGACGTTTTCGAAAGGGGACCCAAGCCCATAGACGCAAAGGAAAGAAAGAAACAGTCAGTCGCAGAGAGAAGGGAGACGTCTTAGCCTCGCACGTGGAGACGGCAGCGCCTTCCCTGTACAAAGTCACCTAGCAGAGACTGTAGTCGGAGATCACATCTGTAGCGCATCCAAAACACTTAGCGGCACTTCTGTGAGAACAGTCGAATTGAACTGAGGAAGCCGGTGACTCAAGCCGAAGCCGTCTGGGCGCTGGTAGCTCGACTCAAAATCACTGCTCTGGTTCCGATATCTCAATAAGTTCTGGAGCTCAGGCGGTGATTATGCGGCATGGTCGTGTGGTTCATCCATACCAAGATCAACGGGATGTCCGCAACCCCCGTGCCGCAGTCTGTACTTCCATGTAATCATCCGGTTTTAAGTAGCACAGCTCTGCGAAGCTTTTGTTCAAGGGTCTCAGTCGTGCTGCTACCAATGGGCATTTTTGCCGAGGCATGTACATCTTCCCACTGCCAGAGCTTTTGGATGTCGCTATGCACGCCAGTCCCGGCGTGGCCATTAGTTTCCAAGAGGAAGTGATTATCGACGGAAAGCGTGAGCAGGAGTGTGGCTCAATCTCGTGCGACTTGCCTCTACGGCTTGTAGAGCTCTGCAGAATCTCGGCTTGGCAGTTCTACGTGCTTTGCCAGGATGTCGTAGTTCAGATCGCACGCCGCGACATGCCAAAGGGAGAGGAGATTTTCGTTTGGCCGGGGCGCCTCTCCAACAGCGAGATGATTGCCAGGTGCGGTGACGAGCCGTGACGGGCTCGGTGACCGTTGAAAGCCACATTTTCTCAACTTCGAGAGGCATGGCTTCAGCTTTCGCGAGAACCCAATCGGGATTGGCCGGAATGTTTCGCAGCCACCCAGCTGGAGCGAAAACAAGAATGCCAAGGGCCGGAAGGTGCGCTGCCGTGGCTTGCAGAGTGAGCGTTTCTGCGGCTCGTCTCAGCCTGTGAGGAGTACGACCTCTACAACTGTTCCTCTCTGGAGGCTTTTGAGATGCGCTTCAGCGCTGAAGGCAAAGGGGACAAGATGAGCTATTTCCCTTGAAAGGGTAACGGGGGCATGCCTTTGCATTCAATCCATGGGCACAGGGGTCCTTGGAGGTGACCGCATCTCCGGGTCTAGGTTTAGGCTGGAGTTGGGCTGTATTACGTTGTTCCGTGCAAGTGTCTCGGATGGATGCTGCTAAATGCCAGAGGCTATCCGATGCGAAACTTCGTGCGGTGTTACCGTGTCTCCTGGTTTATCACCAACGGTTGGTATTCGCCTGCACTCAAGAGCCGAATGCGGGAGCTGAACAAGTGGCCGCCACCTGAGAAATACACGAGCCCCGGCCTCAAATCTCGTGAGCTGCTGTCTAAGATGATGAGCCTTAATTTGGATCTAAGCTCAGACGTCGAAGGCAAAAGATGGGATAGATAGATAGATAGATAGATAGAAGATAGATAGATAGATAGATAGATATTGGAAGAGTAGGGTAGGCATTAGGGCGAGCAAGTTTAGAACGACATCCATGTATGTGTATGTATGTATGCATGCATGCATGCATGTACGTACGTATGCGTGCGGCCCCCCTTTTCATGAGGAAGTCTGACTGGCTCTCCTGGACTCAAGCCGATGCAGAAGTCAATCGTGCAATTCTGGAGTATTGTCAGTCCATGAAGCAGCAGCTCAAGGACTCAGTTTGGGCTGAGCGTGAAGGATCATGTAGGGATTTAGGGTCGACGGTGTTCGGGTGCTTTTACTCACGTCCTCCAGTGCTTAGCCGACTTAATCAGAGGTGGTGGGGGTTCTGCAGGACACGATGGATGCAGACACTGCAGAGGATTTCCGACACTCCAAGGACCCGGTCGACCGTGTGCTGTGGCACATGCGATCGGAGGAATCCCGCACCTTCAAGAATTGCATTTCCGTGGCGAAAAAGATAAAGATGTAGCAGCCCCCACACGTCAAACAAAGCAGTTGCAGTGCAGCCCAAACCATCGCAAACCCACTGGAACAAGGCCCGATAAGCAGCTTAACGGTGCCAGTGATGTTGCAACAACTTCGATGGCCCGACAAGGGGGGCATCACATGCATGCCGTTTCACAGGCAGAGGACCCCCCCTTCGCATGCATGGACCAGCAGCCTTGGCTTGCCGCCGCAAAAGTGACTCTTGCGCTTTGCAAGGCGTGGATCACGTAGAGCCTGTTCAAAATCAGAGCTGAAAAGTTGTTGAGAATCATTAATGTCGTTTCGTCCAGGTGAGAGTTGAAACCCCATCAGCTCTGAACATTACAGTAGTCACCGAGTTTACCAGGGGATCTTCAACGGATTCTGTCGTTAATTGGGTTGTGTCCGGCTTCTGGGTCTCCCGAACTCTGCGTTTTCCCATGCACAGGCGGGACCCCATGAAATTCTGTCTCTGTTTGCGAACGGCTGTGGGCGCGGATAAGTGTAGAATGCCAAAACTGCACGCGAAAAGTATCGAAAAGTTGTAAATTTGCGGCGAAAAACACCGAAAAGTCGAAAAGCCCAAAAAGTAGAAGAAAACACCAAAAAGCGCAAGAAAACCCGAAAAGTTTAGCAACACTGGAAAAGTCGAAAACACACCCCAGCAGAAGCCGAAAAAACAACGATTGGCACACATCTGAAGCATTTTGGCACAGCTTTGGTCTGCAGATCTCTGCAAAAGCAGGTCTAGGATAATGATGCATAATGTTAAGATTGAAACCTGGTCAAACCAAAGCACCGGAAAGGGTGTCGGGTTTCACTAAAAGGGTGTCGGGGTTTCACTGCGTGTGCGAGGTGTCCCTGGCCCATGGCACAGGGAAG